TAAATATTGTATAAATATATTATTTAATATATTTTATATAAATTTACCATTGATACCACAAAACATTATCCCCATGGATGTAAATACTCCTACAGTCTAAAAAGAAATAAACAAAATTTAATCACTTTTTTATTATAAAAATTATTTATTATATTATTTTTCTTTTTTTTTTACCTGAAGGCTATCAGCCGGATTTAAACAATTTGGTAGTTCAATAAAAGGCGTTATAAAACACATCGGATCAGGTGCTGGTCCAATATAACCAAGGTCATTTGTTGCCAAAGAAACAAACGCTCCGCAACCAAGATGCAATAATAGATCCAAAAAAAATCTTGTCCGGTTTCGATATATTTGTAAACACGCTCTTTTAAATAAAAGTAAAAATGATATAAAAACATTCGGCGTTGAACGAACAGAATCTTTCCAAACAACAAGCCCTTTAAGGAAATAAAAAAATTCTTTTCCCACATCCCCCACATATTGACGGGAATCACAAATATTTTGATAAATTGTACCCAATTTGTCAGAAAATCCCGTTGTCTTTCCGAGTTTTCGTGATTTATTATTATCAGAAGGTTCGGGTTCAGGATTAATTTTAATAATTGGTGCTTGATAATAATTAATTGGTGCTTGATAATAATTAATTGGTGGTGCTTGATAATAATAATTATTAGGTGCTTGATGATCTTGATAATAATTATAATTATTAGTTGTTGGTGCTTGATAATCTTGATAATTATTAGTTGGTGATGAGGCTGAAGCTCCTTTGAATTTTACCCATGAATTACAAGCAGGATATTTTTCGATTAAATTATCAACTGGTGAGTTTTCTGGTTTTACTAATAAACAAAAAAAATTATATCAGTAAATGCAGTAATTTTTGCAAATATATATTAAATATATATTATTATTGTTTATACCATTTCCTGATGCTATATCCATCATAAAATCAGGTTCACTAGAAAAATAAATGAATGAAATTATTGAAATTAATAAAATTAATAAAGTTATTTGAAATTTCAATAATTAATTCCAAAATACCTTTCACCGTCAGGAAAAACAAATCCACTATCAATAAAATATTGCATTGCTTCATTCCGAGGTCCGGAATATACAACTATTCCTCCTTTAGCCAACAACATAAGATCGTCAAACATTCTAAAAGATTTTTCGGATGGTGAATGAATTACGGCTGCAACTGTTATTCTTTGATCATGCGCAATGCTTTTCAGCAATTTACACACATCAAATGCTGTTGCAGAATCTAAACCTGATGTTGGTTCATCCTATAAATGGTTAAAAAAATCTTTCAATAAAAAACTTAATGATAATTTTTTAATTTAATGATAATTTTTATAAATCTTACTAAGAAAAGGATAGATGGTTCTGCTACAAGCTCCATTCCAATATTTGTACGTTTCCTTTGACCACCCGATATTCCCCGTGTCACTATTAGGTGAATTTGTTTTTTTATTTTAATATACATATATATATTTTTTCGCCAATATAAAATAAAGAATGGAAATTACCTTCATCACCAATAGCAGTATCCATTACATGACTCAATTCCAAAAATTTAATAATATCAATAACCTTTTGTTTCTTTTCCGCACGTGCCATTTCTGTTGGTAAACGCATTAGTGCGGAATGCTAGATATTTTTGATTTGTAAAGTAAATAAAAATAAACTTTAATAAATTTAAATAAATTAATTCTAGATATTAGATAAAAGATTAACATACCACCAAAATTTCGCGAATCGTTAGTTCTCTGAGCATTATGTCTAAATTAGGAATTAAATTAAAAAATAACATTAATATTTTTTTTTATTTTTCTTAATTAAAAGATGGATATGATATGAAATGAATATTATCAATCAACCTTCTTGAGGTACGAATCCAATAAGTTTTCTGTAATAGTCTAGAGATGACTTTTGCCCAACTACGTAGTAAACGAACGTGAATTTTATTAGCATTATAATTGAGTATAATTTAGTATTATTAAGTATAATTGAGTATATATTATATACCTTCTATTCCATCTTTATATTTTTTTACAATTATTTTTCCATTGGTTTTTCTTGCTTTTCCCGTCAAAAGAGAAACAAATGTGGTTTTACCAGCACCTAAAAACAAATAACAAATATAAAGGTTATTTATAAATTATATTAATAATTTTTAACAATTGTTTATTGATATTTTAAAGAATTTTAAATAACAAACCAGATGGTCCCATGATCGCACACGTTTTACCATGATTAAGTGATCCTGAAACTCCCTTAAAAGAAAGAAAGTAAAGCAGCAATGTGAATACAATGAAATATGAATTATGATTAATTAAATTAAAAATTACCTTCATAATTTCGGTGCCATCAGGTAAAATCAAACCTAAATCATTAAATTCAATATCGAATGTTTGTGAAACAGGATCTAAAGTCTCACTTTTTTCATATCGGGGTTCTTCTAATAATATCCGATATTTTTCGTCTTTTTGAGCATCTGCTCTCTTTTTAAATTTGAATATTATTAAGATCAATAATATTAAGACTGCCACTAAAATTCCAACAAAATATTTATTGGCAGATTTTGATCCGGCTGGACAATAAGCCAAATGGTTACAAGATTGTGGATCCACTGTTCCTATATTTATTAAAAAAAATATAATTAAAAGAATTCGCAAAGAAAAGGCACAGCAAAACTTGATCAAATATTTTTCATACCTAGGGCGCAGAAGTGACCTATTATAAAAATATTGTATAAATAAATCAAAAACAAAAAATAAAAATAAAAATGAAAAGGCTATTTTTTAAATTATTCTTTACCTTCAGGACAAAGTTCGATTGTTTTTGGAGTTTGACAATAATAACCCTCACAACAATAAACGGGTTGTGCTATTTATAAAAAAAATATTATTTAGTAAATTATTTGATGAGTGGCACGAAAATTTAGATTAAGGAAAAAATTTTCATAATACATACCACCTATTTTGATATATTTAGATATATTGGATGTAAATGTCAAGAATGTTTTATATTTTATTATATTTTATAATTTTAGTTATTTATTAAATTTATGAGTGTAAAGTAAAAAAAAAATAATTATTATACTAACTATTTTCTGGACAATAAAATCCATCAGTACATGGGAATTTTGATGAGGGCCTCGGACTGAGACAATAATATCTATAAGGAATATTATAAAATTATTTAATAAATGAATTGAATTTTAAAATAAGGTCAGAAATCTTTATTCCTTATTTACCCAGCTTCGCAGTCCCAACTGACGTTTTTATTTTCGTGAGGGCGTGGTGTAGAAATGTAATAGCATTCATCAGAAGGCTGGAATATTTTAATTTATTTATAGTTAATATTTAAAATTTTAATTTATAAAGTTTAATTTTAAACAGTACAGTTTATATCGTTAATTTATTATTCCTTTACCTTAGTTCCATTGGCAAGTTGTTTTGAGATTAAAGTAGAATAAACCCGAGGATCCAAATAAGTTTCGGATACAGGAACTTGTTCTTCAAGTGGAGGAAGAGTAACATTAAGTGTTTGGAGAGGTCTTTTTTTGCATGATATTTTATTTGGGAATAAAAAAATTCCCAATAAACAAGTAATCATCATCCATTTAGAAAAAATGATTGATCTTGTCATTTTGAAAAACTTAAATCTATTATTTAGTTAATAATCTTTTGAGTTTTTATTGAAATGCTATTTAAATGACAATGTGATAAAAAAAAAAGAAAAAAAGAGAAAATGGTTTACTTTATACATAAAGTATTAATCGGAATTAATCTTTCTTTTTAAAGAAAAATGTTACATTTATATGCATTTTACATATTTTATTCGTTATGTTTCATTGACATTTCATTGAGTTTTAGTGTGGCGAAAAAGAAATCCTTATGTTGCTATACAAATGGTAAATTTTAATTAATTTTGTTTATTTACTAGAACAAATTAAAGATTTGCATGCTGTGATAGGTGCCACGGACTATTGTTTTTAGTCCGGTATGGTTAGTTTCAGTTAGTAATACAGTTCTTTCCCGTCTTATCGGAAGTCAGTGTTGTTTTGTCGAATTCAAAAAAGGAAATTGAACCCATATCTGGATATTTGACACTTTTTTTATCACGTGTTTTTTTGAGAAAAGAAATTCTTCGGTGCTAGTAGAAGTTTAGATTGTATATGGAGATTTATTTTGAAATAACCGGTTAAAGAAAGGACAACGAATTTTGATTAGTGTTAGTGGATACCATTTTTTTAATAGATTACTTTTCTTGAAAAAAGAACAATGAATAAAATTATAAAAAATTGAGACAATGTGACTGTTTAATTTTGCTTACTTGTGGCAAAGTTTATTATGAAATTTTTTAAAAAGGTTACTACTATTATACATGCTGTCAAAATTACGGAATTACAAAGGGTTACGGCATTTCGGCTAAGCCGTAATTATTACGGCACAGCAATATAAAATCCATAATGCCGTAATTTATAAAGCGGCCGCGTTAAATTAATCGTTACGTAACACAAAATGTACGTTTTTCGCTTTTTTTTTAAAATAAAAAAATAATTTTTCGTTGTTAAGGTTTATTTTTTTAACAGTTATAAAATTTGTTCATTTCTTATAATTAAAATACATTATTTTCTAATTATCTATTTATTTATTATAAATTGTACAGCGTTTTAAAAAATAAAATTTTTATAATTTTACATTAACTTCGGAAGAGTAAATTCGTGCAACAACTTTACTTGAGAAAGTTAGGAAAGTATAATTAAGCGTTAATAGACTTTAATAAAAATAGATGCTCTTTTCCTGCTCCTTAAGAAACTTCATTTCCGTTCTATCTATTCAACTTTTTCAAACTTCTTCGGCTCCCAAATTCATCTCTGTCCCCGTTACCAATGGGTCTTAATCCTATGATATATTTTCTGATGTTCTCTTTTGTCTTTTTGTATTTTTTCGTGATGCTGCTTAATATTAGATTGATATAATCAAGTTTTTGAATGAAGTAAAGTTCCGAAAGACAAAATAGGTAGTAAAAATAAATGAGATTTTTAGGTGAGGTAATGTTATTTCAAAATCAACGTGTAAATTTGACATAATGCTGTAATGTTTTAAATAGGTATAATGCCGTAAAATAATTAAGGAATTACGGTTTTGACTTTTAAGGCAAACAATAAGGCACGTGCCGTAACCGTAAAAGTTGTTAAATATAATTTGACAGCATGTATAACTACTATATATGCATATAATAACATTGATACGTATGATTTATATAATCATAAATAAAATGTTCGTCGTTATCATCACCACATTATTCTTGCTGATCTCTATTTACTCATGCATAAATATTCTATAAAATCTTCTTTCATTTTTTGTACTATTTCTTTCACCTAATTAATTAAGTTTTTAATTAAAATGTATATTTTGTTGGTTATTGATGTCGAAAGATTTTTATTATAGTTGATCTTTTAAATCTGTGTAAGCTAACTTTCGATAAATTAAATTTTGGAAATATTAACATCGGAAATATACAGTATAGATATATAACTAAAAAAATAAATATAAGATGTACCAGGCGCAGGCGTATTAGATGTTCACCATTACAAACTAAAATAAAATATAATGATAAAACTAGTTATTTTATTGAATATATTTTTATGTTATAAAATTTCATATGAATACATTTTTGTGTACAGTTACAGTGTTTGTTATTTTGTTAATCAAAAAAAAATTGATGTTTTCCATAAATAATAAACACACAATTTACCATTTTAGGTACCTTTTTTGGTATATGTATGATTACAAATAATTTTTTGATACTTCAAAAACATATTTAAAGGATTTGACACAATTTTGGGATATTTTTGCCTAAAGCAAATTCAAATATAGAAAGAAAATTCCGGTTGTTTAAAGAAGTCGTTTAAATGACTCTAAGTATAAAATATTATTTACACTAACTAATAATTTATTTTGCCAAAAACTCCCCTCGCTCATTAGATTAAATAATAACGGAAGAAATTTTATTATTGAATTTTGGATAAATCCGAATGTGAACACTCCCAATGTGTTATTTTCACATCATATTTCTTTGCTTAATATTCACCTATGAGAAAGATCACCGGTAACGAAACAACAACTAAAATTATCTTTAAACTTACAACATTTAAAAGCATTAACATTAAACTCCTTAACTCCTCTTAACTAATTTTCTCTTCAATTTTAAGAGCTAACCATAATAATTCTCATAAATTTATATAAATAATTTAACATATTGTACATAATATAATATTATATAATAATAATGAATATGAGAAAATGACAATAATATTAAATATTTCACATACCAAATTCTTTACTATTATTATAAATAACTTATTTTATAAATAACTTCATTTTTTTTTTCAAATCATAATTAAATCGCGTATTCCAAAATCTGATAATAAATATGGAGATATTCTTTGTCTTTCGTGTTATCTTGGTTTTCATATTAGGTTCTCCTTTAAAAACTTTTATTGTCTGGAGTGTAGCGTAGGACATTTAATGGACGATACCAAAAATTCCGTTTTGATGCTTTAAAAGTCCTAATTTGTCTGGAGCATAGTGAAAGACTTAAATGGACGCATAGGGATAAAACAAAAATTACACAATAACAAATATTGCTCCAGACTAGTGTTATGATCCTTAATTCAGTAATCCTATAATCCGGATTCATTTAAAGTCTCCAAACATTGTCAATTTACAAAATTAATTAAAAAACTGTATTGCTTAATAAAAGTATCAGCTAAAAGTCACTAAATGTATATAAATTTACATTATATTATATCTTTAAGTGCCTGCGTAGATATAATAGTATATTAAGTGCATTTGTTACTTGATGTCACTAATTAATAGCAAATGCAAAAAAGGACACTATCATGAGTTAACATTTTTAGTGATAGGTTTCAACAAATATTACAAATATTTGATTCTTTCGCGAATATATGATACAGTTAAATGCTATGTTTAAATAACTTTATATTAAGTAATTTTAAAAACAACCCGAAAAAAATTAAATTAATTAAATTGAAGTTTTATACGAATGAATCTATATGATTATTTTTGTTTATCTCGGTTAACCAATTTCATTGCTAAAAATGCTAAACATGACCATGTCAATGCAATAAATATTATATTATGCAAAGTATCTGGATAATCGCCTAAGCTATACGTATAGTTTAGATTTTTTGTATGAATTTCAACCCATCTGTTAGAAATTTTAGAAATTTTAGAAATTAATGAAATTACGAATTATTTATAAATATTATAAAATACATACTTTCTTGGATCTAATTCTTTAAGATATAATGCTTCAACAGACCATCTTGGTGCAGAAATCTAAATAAATAAATAAATAAATAAAACAAATAAATAAAATAACTAAATAAACAAATGAAAATAAATAAATAATAAATAAATAAATAAAATTACATCAAACATCCAGTAAAGCCACTTCAGGCTATCATCATCTTTAATTTTATCCAATCTAGGAGTTGCTCCACTTAAAACCATACCAAAAAGAAGAGCAAATCCTGTACCAACTAATCCTAATTTCTCTTTTGAAAAAATAGCGGATAAGAAATAACCTAGAAATAAATCACATTACATTTTAAATATATAAAAATATTAAAAATATTAGAAATAATATAAAGATACAAACGTAAAATAAATATATTAAATATTAATAATTTACCTATTTGCCATGCCGCAATATAAGTAAGTAACATAATAAAATAAATTTCACTATAACGTGCTCGATGTGAAAAGAATAATACAAATGACAATGAAAACATCAGCGCAGCTAATAAGATCCTTGGAATGTCTGCAATACTTTTTGCTAAGAAATAAGGTATAGTTTTCATTCCTGAAGATGTATCACGCCAATATACAACTTTTTCATATCCAAATGTTGTTGATCCAGCTACAACAACAATAATTAATTTATATTAATAAAATAAATATTGTATAAATATTATTATTTTATATATATTTTATATAAATTTACCATTAATGCCACAAAATGTTATTCCCAATGACGCAAATACTCCTACAGTCTAAAAAGAAATAAACAAAATTTAATCCCTTTTTTTTTTTTTATTATTATAATAATTATTTCTTAAATTTTTACCTGAAGGTTATCAGACGGCTTTAAACAACTATATGATTCAATAAATGGTGTTATAGAACACATCGGATCAGGTACTAGTCCAATATAACCAAGGTCATTTGTTGCCAAAGAAACAAACGCTCCGCAACCGAGATGTAATAATAGATCAAACAAAAACCTTGTTCTGTTTCGATAAATTTGCAAACATGCTCTTTTAAATAAAAGTATAAATGATGAAAAACCATTCGGCGTTGAACGAACAGAATCTTCCCAAATAAAAAATTCTTTAAGAAAATAATAAAATTCTTTTCCAACATCTTTGGCATATCGATAGGAATCATCTATAATTAAATAAATTTTGTTGATTTTTGCATAAAATTTTGTTTCACATCTAGCTCCTGATGCTAAATCAATATTAATTACTACTCTCTCCTTCTCTCTTCTCCATCTATCTCTTCTCCATTTATCTCTCTCTCTCTCATTATAAACACTATAATTATAACCACTATCACTATCACTATCATTAGGATCACTAAAACTATCTATTGATGAAGCTCTTCTGTTATTTTCATGTTTTAACCATTTTTCATAAAGATCTTCTAAGCTTAAACCCTGTAAATTATTATCTTTTGATGTTACTAATAAAAAAAATTATATATATAATAACTTTGTCAATATAATATAGTAAATATTAATTATTGCAAATAAAATATAATATTATTTGTTTATACCTCTTCCTGATGCTATTTCCATCATAAAATCAGGTGGACTAAAAAAATAAAAGAAATAAATTATTGAAATTATTTAATAAAATTATTGAAATTATTTGAAATTTCAAATAATTATTTCCAAAATACCTTTCATCTTTAGGAAGGATAAATCCAAGATCATAAAAATATTGCATTGCTTTTTTCCGAGGTCCGAAATATACAACTCTTCCTCCTATACCTAACAACATAAGATCATCAAACTTTTTAAAAGATCTTAATGATGGTGAATGAATTATGGCTGCAACTGTAATCTTTTGTTTCTTCGCAATTTCTTTCAATTTCTCACATACATCTAATGCTGTTGCAGAATCTAAACCTGATGTTGGTTCATCCTATAAATAATTAAAAAATATATTTCAATAAATTAAAAAATTTTTAGTTCAATGATAATTTTTAATTCAATGATAATTTTATGAATCTTACTAAGAAAAGGATAGATGGTTCTGCTACAAGTTCCATTCCAATATTTGTGCGTTTCCTTTGACCACCCGATATACCTCGTGACACTGTTAGGTGAATTTATTTTTCATTTTAATATTCATATACATATATTTTTTCGTCAATATAAAATAAAGAATGGAAATTACCTTCATCACCGATAGCAGTATCCATTACCTTACTCAATCCCAAAAATTTAATAACATTCATAACCTTTTCTTCCTTTTCCTTAGGTGTCATATTTTTTGTTGGTAAACGCATTAGTGCAGAATGCTAGATATTTTTGATTTTGTAAAGTAAATAAAAATAAACTTTAATTAAATTTAGATAAAATTAATTCTAGATAACATCTATCAAGAATTAACATACCATCAAAATTTCGCGTATTGTTAATTCTCTGAGCATTATATCTAAATTAAAAATTAAATTAAAAATAATATTAATATTTATTTTTTTTTTCTCTTAATTAAAAAATGGATATGATATGAAATGAATATTATCAATCAACCTTCTTGAGGTACGAATCCAATAAGTTTTCTGTAATAGTCTAGATTTGACTTTTCTTCAACTATGTAGTAAACGCACGCAAATTTTATTAGTATTATAATTGAATATAATTGAGTATAATTAAGTATATATTATATACCTTTTTTTTTGTCAATGAATTTTCTTACTTTTATTTTTCCATCGGTTTTTCTTGCTTTTCCCGTCAAAAGGGAAACTAATGTGGTTTTACCAGCACCTAAAAACAATAAAGGTTATAAATAAATTACATCAATGATTAATTGCTTATAGATATATTAAAAGAAATTTAAATACAAACCAGACGGTCCCATGATCGCACATGTTCTACCATGTTTAAGTTTTCCTGTAACTCCCTTAAAAAAATAATTTTAATTTGAATTATTAAGAAAGAGAGAAAAAAAAGCAGTAATATGAATATAATGAAATATGAATCATGATTAATTAAATTAAAAATACCTTCATAATTTCGACGCCGGAAGGTAATTTTAGACTTAAATTTTCAAATTTAATATCAAATGTTTCTGAAACGCAATTTAAAGTTCCTCCACTATTTTCACTTCTTTCATTTTCTGCATTATCTCCAATTTTGGGTTCTCCTAATGATTTTGCTTTTTTCTGATATTCTTTATTCTCTTCAACATCTTTTACCTCTTTGATTTTGAATAAAATTAAGATCAATAATACAAAGATTGCTATTAAAACTCCAATAAAATATTTATTGGCAGATTTTGATCCGGGTGGACAATAAGCCATATGATTACAAGATGGTGGATCTACAGTTCCTATATTTATTAAAAAATATATATATACATAAAAAGAACTCGCAAAGAAAAGACACAGCAAGACCTGATCAAATATTATTCTTACCTATGGTGCAGAAGTGACCTATTATAAAATATTATAGATTATTGTAAAAATATTGTATAATAAATCAAAAAAAAAAAATATATAAAAATGAAAATGAAAAGCTACTATTTTATTAAATTATTCTTTACCTTCAGGACAAAGTTCGATTGTTTTTGGAGTTTGACAATAATAACCTTCACAACAATAAACGGGCTGTGCTATTTTATAAAAAAAAAAAATTATTTAGTAAATTATTTGACGAGCAACACGAAAATTTAGATTAAGAAAAATTTTTCATAATACTTACCGCCTATTTATATATATTTTGATGAAATTTCAAGAGTGTTTTATATATTAGAATTTTAGATATTTATTAAATTTATGAGTTTAAAAAATAAAAATAATAATAATAATTATGCTAACTATTTTCTGGACAATAAAATCCATCAGCACATGGGAATTTTGATGAGGCCCTCGGACTGAGACAATAATATCTATAAGGAATATTATAAAATTATTAAATAAATAAATTGAATTTTAAAATAGGGTCAGAAATCTTTAATTCTTTATTTACCCAGCTTCGCAGTCCCAACTGACGCTTTTATTTTCGTGAGGACGTGGTGTGGAAATGTAATAGCATTCATCAGAAGGCTAGAATATTATATATTAGTTTAATATTTAAAGTTTAATTTATAAAGTTTAATTTTAAACAGTACAGTTTATTTTTATAATTTCTTTACCTTAGTTCCATTAGCAATTTTCTTTGAGATTAAAGTAGCATAAACCCGAGGATCTAAATAAGTTTCGGATTCAGGAACAGGTTCTGGAGGAAGAACTGGAACAGGAATTGTTGGGACATGTTCTTTGCATGATATTTTATTTGAGAATAAAAAAATTCCCAATAAACAAATTATTATGATCCATTTAAAAAAAATAATTGATCCTGCCATTTTTAAAATTTTTTTTGTTAAAATTTTGAAAAATTTTGATCTATTATTTATTGAACTTCTATTGAATTCTATTTAACCAATAAGGTAATTGTATTATAAAAAAGAAAAAAAAGAGAAAACGTTTTACCCCATACTTTTACATAAGATAGATACGGTCTGCATAAATTAATCTTTCTTTTACAAAAAAAATGTTACAGTTCATATTCATTTTATATATTTCATTTATTACGTTTAATTGAGTGGCGAAGAAGATATGTTATATATAGTAATTTTTAATTAATTTTGTTTATATTAGAATTTGTGTAGGTGCCACAAGACTAGTTGTTTTTGGTTAAAAAATTTCCACGTGATCTAAATGTGTTATTGTCGTGGTATGCGCAGAACAATGTGGAAAATCAAGCCAATCAGTCTCAATAAGTTTAGGATAATCACACGATAATTCAATGTATCACTAACACACTTTCTCTTGTGCGCGATATCTTAAAATACAGCAAGACAGGCAATCAGTCGATCTAAACCTGCTTACTAACACTCTCAAACAATGCAATTACGTGTAATATCTGAAGGTACGATGAGCAAGTGGAGTAAAAGTATCTTTAACAACTACTTGCA